AGCGCTGGCGAAATGAATGGGTCGAACTGTCCAGGTCTGCGGCCACGGATCGTCGCGCATTGAGAAGCACCATACGGGACATAATTGAGGTCGGCTAGATCAGTCATGATCGCAGCCGTAACAAGTACAAAAGTAAATAAGATCACGCCTGTAATTTAGTATCGCAATAAGGTCATTTTGAAACTAAAACTGTAGTTTTTGTAAAGAGGACGAACATGATTGAGTAGTGCAAGGATCTGACTGCTCACTTCATAAAATTAAAACATACAAGGCCTACGGAGTAATCAGTGACTATTACCAAGGAGATACTTTTGCTGATTTCGCCTATAACAGCTGGCTTAACGGATTGCGTCAAGTGTCCTTTCTCAGGACGGAAACTTTACCGAGTATAAACTCCCACCTGCTGTTAATTTCGTCTACTGCACATGTGTGAAGATTCTCCGTGGGAGGCCAAAGAAGATAATTTTCTTGATACTACCGATGAGGGTGAGTAAATCGGAACTTTACGGTGTCACGTGGAGATTTCCTGGGTTATCTTACATATAACTTGGTATGCAGTCGATGTAACTATTCGTAATGAGAACTAAGCGGTTTCTTATCGGACACGGAGTAAAGGTAAAACCAGGGAATAAGGCTGATGATAACTAAAACTTCAATGAAATAAAAGGTCGGAGAAAATAAGAAGCTCGATGTAAGTAGACACATGCAGAATCACGTAACATACAAAGACCAGAATCTAGATTTTGTCATTAATCCGTGTCTGTAGATGTTCTGCGCAAGTAAACAAAAGATCAACCCAAAAACGCCTGGTCGTCGCAATTAGATTATTAGGGGCTGTGGATGCAATCAGGGAAATAGAAAATCAGAGGAACCCAGTTTCTTACAATATTTCTGCAAGCCGATAAGCAAGTAAAACTTTAAGCAAACTTTTCTAGGGTAAAGTATATGGGGCCAAAAGCATTCCTAATCTGAACAGAATTCCTGGTGGTGCGAACTGATGAAGGAATAAAGAGTTCTGTATTTGACAACCATTCATCTCAGCTATTGCTTGAAGCATAAATTAGATTTTTAGCTGACTCACTAAAGTTACGAACAACGTTTGAGGCGTTGAGGCATGTACTTCTTAGTTATGATGCGCTTCGCGGTTGATTGTAAAAACCATTGCTGTTTGTTACATACGATAAGCAATTTGTGTGAAATGCATAACATCAAAAGTAGCGTCAGCATTGAAGCATAAATTCTACCAAACAAACATCGGCGCGACTTACCTTTCTGAGTGCTCTGGTTAACGACAATCTTTAACATTAATTCGAACTCCACGTATGATGTGCTCGGCGTCAATGACTTGGTTCCAATACACTGTCGGCCGAAGTGTAAGGTAGCCACTTCCATTGTGCTTCTTTTTTTTGGGATTGATACACATATAAATATCGAGAACTTCTCCGAAGCTTGCGAAGTGGGTCTTCAAGTTGTCTGCAGTGAGTTGGGCCTGTACGCCATCAACGTAAATTTCAAGGTGCCTCTTTGATTTACGAACATTAATTCGAACGTCGAGTATAATGTGCTCGGCGTCTAGAATTTGATTCACATCCACTGTCGATCGAAGTGTAATGTGGCCAGCTCCATTGTGCCTGTTCGTTTTGGGATTAATACACATAGCCACATCTAACACTTCTCCAAAGCTTGCAAAGTGGGCCTTCAGGTCCTCTGCAGTGATGTTCGCCTTCACACCACTCACGACTAACTCAATACGCCGCTGCTGCGATCTTCCAACAGCCCAACCATCCTGCAAGTCCTTTTGTTGCTGTTTTGACTGTTTTTGCTGTTGAACACAATGGGTTGAGCTAGAAGCTATTTGTTTGGTCAGTTCAAGTTGGTGCTTCGAAAGCAGCGGCTCCCGGTCAAATTTGTGTTCAGTCCTGGACAAGACACAAACAGAATTGTTTTGCTCTTACAGACAATTTATAAAGGATTTTTTTAAACATACAGGATCGGTTTCCTACGACGCCCGAATACGGAAGTGTGAACAGTGTAAAGCACTAAAATTAATAAAAGCACATTTAGACAAGCTAAAACAGCTGCGAGAGAACAGAGGCATCTTGGTTACTCGACCGGACAAAGGAACGGGTGTCTTCATAATGAAAAGATCGGACTATTCAATGAAGATGCTAGACCTACTATTGGACCAGACGAAATTCAAGAAAGTAGATAGAGAAAAGAGTGAACGAAATTGAGGGAGACAGCTGACCGATTGCTTACGAAGACTCCACGCATCAGGGTTCATAAGTGACAGTGGCCTCGAACGCCTCCAGTCAGTAGGCACTCACATCCCTCGTTTGTATAGTCTACCTAAGACTCACAAGGATGGCCTGCCAGTTCGTCCGATTTTGGGCATGCGAAACTCGCCATATCATGCAATAGTGAGGTGGTTAACAGAGAAACTCAAACCCTTACAGCAGCAGCTGGCACCATGTAACCATCAATACACGTTCAAATTTATCGACGAAATCAAAGACATGAAGTTAAACAGCATGATGATGTTCTCCCTAGACGCCTCAAAGCTGTTTACAAACGTCCCGATCACAGAGACAGTCGATTACATTTGCGAATTCTTGTTGACAAATCGGATGGTAGTAGGAATACCAATGGATACAGGGAAGAAACTATTACTAAAATGCACATTAAATTTGCAATTCCTTTTTGACAACCAACTATATAGACAAACAGACGGCGTCACCATGGGCTCTCCTCTTGGAACCCTCTTGGTTACTATCTTCATGGGCAAGCTGGGTAAACTGTAACTCAGCGATCAGATTCATAAGTTAAAATACTCAGTCGCTATGTCGATGCCATCTTCGCCATCGCCCCAACAGAAACCGATGTAGACGCGCTCAAGGGCAAACCCAAAGCCACAACCAGGAAAGAACATTCCCGTAATACGATCTGAGAGCGCCCACTCGATGGAAACCCACAGGCAAACGAACCCATGGCTCCATGGTCAGAGCGTTAGACTTCTTATAAACCGGTTATGAGTTCAGTCCTCCGAGGTTTCAACATCGGGGCGTGAGTATGGCTAATTAGCAGTTAATAATTCAGAAATGGCCACTGCAGCCTTCGTTTCCCCTGTTGGTAATGGTATGTCACATTGATTTTAACTGGTTTAAGAAGGAACTGTCCTGCCTTGCGAATGGTCCTTTGCAAACATTAAACAGTGAAAATGTTGGTTTTCTTGTACTTACTTACACTGAAATAGTTCTAGCTGACTCAAGTTATAATAATTTTAAAATAGTGAGAAGCAAACGAATGCATTAAATACAAAGTTCTTTTTTCCAAGGACGTTTGTTTATTTTGCTTTAAATTAAGGCCACGAATTCAAGGCAAAAACGGAAACTAGGGGCAAGAAACAGCAACTAGAGGAAACAGTGTCTTGCTTTATAGCAGATGGGGTTCCTAGAATACACCCCGACGGCCAACGAACAGAAGATGTACTGGTAGTGGACAAATAACCGTCCTCAATGATGGGGAACTCAGTAATAATAACGCTACGATTTCAATAACTGTTAGATTAGGGTGTCCAAAGGAAAAAAAGGAAAACAAATAAGCTTGGTAAGGCTTCCTTTTGAGGCTGCCTAATGGCGGAAGTTGTCCCGGCCAATTTTGCAAGGTTTAATGCTTGATTGAGGCGTAGTCAATGCATGATAAGTGCACAATAGGCAATAAAATAAAGCCAGTTCAGAAGAAGAAGATGCGATCACTGGAACAAGAGTTTTATTTTCCTGACGTTTCGGATTCTGTCGAGAATCCGTCGACGGGTACTGAGAGCAAATGGGTACCCGCGCAATTTTGTCAACTAATGCATACGCAAACGAGAGAAGACGCCACATCCAACTGGCCCAAAAGTTTGGCGAGCTCTTCCGTACGTAAAGAATATATCGGAAGCGGTCAGCCGTCTGCTCCCCCACTTAAAGTTGGAGTCGCGCACAGGCCAGAAGCAACCATCAGGCGCCGGGTCATGAGACCGAAACACCCACTGCCATGGCAGGAAATGGCTGGAGTCGTTTTCGGATCTGGTGCAGTTGTGGACAAAGCAACTACGTCGGAGAAACCGGGAGA